AAAACTCCTGTCTTGAAGAGTCTGTGTAGTAGGTTCTACAGACTCTTCTAGTGCCTCTGTTTCCTCTCTGTAGGATCTTCTCTAGTACATCTTCCCAGGTGGCTCTTGTCTTCTGAGACCAGTAACTTGTTGAGCATTTAAGCTGTGACTGATTATAGATATCAGCTGTCTTTCTCCTTTGTGTCACACTGTGTGGCTTTTGGATAAGTTCTAAAAGACAGTTCTTGACAACAATTTAGGCTATGGAAAAGTTAGCTTGGTGGGCTCTCAGTTCTGCTAGTAGCATCTAGTAGTGGCCAAAACCCAAGAGAAGGCTTTGAGGTATAATTTTAGAGGTTTACTCTTGATCGCATATTGATAATAACAGTGCCTAGGTTATTGTAGTTCAGGCTTTAGGGGCATGCAGATGAGTATCACAGAAATAACAAGTTGCTTCATGGCTTACTCTTCTAGGGTCTTCTCGAGGGCCTCTTCCCATGAAGAGAGGTCCACCTCCACGAAGTGGAGGCCCTCCACCTAAAAGATCTGCACCTTCAGGACCAGTACGTAGCAGTAGTATGGGAGGAAGAGGTAAGGACTTCCTGAATTATTTTGTTGCTAAGTCAGCTGTAGCACCTTGATCTTTTTTCAGGAACTGTTGCAAATCATTGATTCTAATTATCCCACAGCAGATTTAATAGAATTTAGTGTATTGGTTTTCTAATCCATCAGTCTCTTCATACCAGTATAATTTTGTAGCTATTTGGAACAATTTGCTGTGATTAGATGAGAATGTTCCTTCTAGTGATGCTTTAAAACTGTACAAGCAGAAAAAGCATTATAGATGTAGGCTGTGGAGATATGTTTAAATCACTATAAAGAGTCTGGTAATACCTGCCTTAAGGAGTCTTCTGTGTGGCTAAATGCTAATTCAGTTAAAATGTGGACTTTCTCTTAAGCTCCTGTGTCACGTGGAAGAGACAGTTACGGTGGTCCTCCACGCAGAGAACCAATGCCATCACGAAGAGATGTCTACATGTCTCCAAGAGATGATGGCTATAGCACTAAAGACGGGTAAATTCTTTTATTAATTCCGTTCTGCCTTTTTTTGTTGTTGTTCAGAGAAGGATTTTGATCTCTGATCTTTTGAGGCATGACATACAGCTAACATCTCAATTCTTGTTCTTTGTAGTTACTCAAGCAGAGATTATCCCAGTTCCAGAGATACACGGGACTACGCGCCACCTCCACGAGACTATGCATATCGTGATTATGGTCATTCCAGTTCACGTGATGAATACCCCTCTAGGGGATATAGGTACCTACTGTTGGATTTTTCTCTCTGTCATTTGGTTCTTGCTGTGATCCCACTAATTTGTACTAAGTCTTAGTAGTCTTTCCTCCTATAGTGATCGTGATGGATACGGCGGTGGACGTGACAGAGACTACTCGGATCATCCAAGTGGAGGCTCCTACAGAGATTCCTATGAGAGTTATGGTAAGAATCCATTTTGAGGATCATGTAGTAATTTGTACAGGTGTCATAAAACCTGACTTTTACTAGGTTGCTCGTGTTTTAGGGGGAAGTGGCACACTTTTTTTCCCCTTACAGTGAAAGTGCAGTTGGTTATCATTTGATCATCTTGTTAAATAAGCTGTAAGCTAAAGAAGCAAAGTCTACAGTTCAGAATTGCAACTATCTCTGGAAAATATGGCTGAGTTTCTTCTCTAAAATAACAAGCTGTTCTGGAATACCCAGTAAAGAGCCTGCCTGAATAAACACCGTCTTCATTCCTTCAGAGTCTTTAAATCCACTCACTGCCTGATATGCAATCCCCACTTTAAATACCATTAACGTGGCAGATTATATTAAGAACATCTCAATACATACAAAAGAGTAGCCGTAAACATTTAATACAGCAATTCTGTAAATTCAGATTGAAATTGTTATATATAACTTATGGTGTTGCCATATTACCTGACCATTGACCCTGCAGGTAACTCACGTAGTGCTCCACCTGCACGAGGGCCCCCGCCATCTTATGGTGGAAGCAGTCGATATGATGATTACGGCAGCACACGAGATGGATATGGAAGCCGAGAAAGTTACTCAAGCAGCAGAAGTGATGTCTACTCAAGTGGCCGTGATCGTGTTGGAAGACAAGACAGGGGTCTTCCCCCATCTATGGAAAGGGGCTATCCACCTCCTCGTGATTCTTACAGTAGTTCAAGCCGTGGAGCACCCAGAGGTGGTGGCCGTGGCGGAAGCAGATCTGATAGAGGTGGAGGCAGAAGCAGATACTAAAAACACTCTTAAACTTTTGGACCAAGACAGATTACTTCTCAAAAAAAAATTGAAAAGTGGAAGTTGTTCTATCTTTACTACCAGAGGGACTACTAAAAGGAAAAGTTGTTTTTACCTTTTTTTATTGTTGCCTGTTAAGTTTTCCCCTCCATGACTTTTATGCTTTTGTGAGGAAAAGTTAAACCAATGTTTAATTTCATTTCAAAATTGTTAACATTTCTTTCAAAAAGCAGATGTTAAATGTATAAAACTTGAGCTGTGTACTAGTGTTGTAATTTTCAAAGTAAAGTTTCCCTGAAATGCCACACTTCCCATCTGATTTTCCTCATGAATGGAACAAGCAGTTCTTAAGAACTTCCACACAACATCCAACCATCTAACCTGGAGATGGATTGTTCTACATGTTCAGCATCTCATTCTTAAAAGTATTGCTTGTGATTTGGAGGGTGGTGGGGATATTCCACACAAAGTTCAGTTTTGCCTAGAATTTGAAGTCACGGTGTTCCCAGTACAAAATGCCTTCAGATCCTTGTGTAAAGAAAAATAGAGGATATCATTCACTTAACCTGAAAAAGCAAGTGGATAATACTATTTTCTGCCTTCCTTCTGTTTCATGGGGAGTTTGGAAAGATCTCCCCTCCAAATAAATCATGTACATGTAAGTCAGCTACAGAATACTGTAAAAAATAAAAAAAAAAACCCTTGACCAATTCCATCAAAGAAGCTGCAAAACGATGCTTACTCATACTGTTTCAAATTTTTGCAACTCTGTAGTGTTTCACTTTTAAAGGAACATCTTTGATTCCAAAGGAGAAAATAAGATAAGCAAAGAAGTCTTTCTCTCCAACTTCTCAAAGGCTTATGGCTTCATAAAAACAAGTGAATCTTTCAGCATTCCACAGCTGATTTAAAGCATCAAATGCCTGTGAAACAGCAAAGATGGTAAGCAAAGCAAACTAGTTTTTCAGTCTAAGTCAAAATTGAATCAAGTTATCTTCCTCTAGTACAGTAAGACAAGCTGCACATTATGGCAATGGAAGTGCTGTCTAGGTTTAAAAAAAAAAGGAAAAGAAATACTTCAATACATTAGAACTTCTCAAAATTCAACATTTCTTCTTGGATAAAAGCATTTATGGCACCAATTTTGAAACTAAAGACATAATGCAGCTCACTGTAGACAGAATATTGTCAAGTAGGGTTGGGAGGGGGTATTTTGTGCCCAGTATCTTTCAGTGAAGATGCTTAAAGAGGCTGCATATACTATATTAAACAAAATTAAAGCCTTGTGAAATGAGGAATTGGTTTAGATTGACAAATACCACCTCGGCTATTGGGAGTTTGAAGCAAGCCATTGCAAACTTGACGTTTAGTTGGATGCCTGACTCTGTTTAGTTTGACACTGCGTTACAGGGATATCTAGTACATGTGGCAAAACCTGTGGCAAGTTGTTATGACTCAGGTAAAGCCGTGAAGTTCAAAAGATGCTCTTGAATATAGTAGACATGAAGACCTCCAACTAAAAAAAAAAAAAGGCACAAACCCAAAAGCTTTGTACTACTCTTTAGTCCTCAGTAAATTTTGTTGTTCAACTTAAGAATTTAACATGGCAGTGCACCATTGAAAAGGAATGAGAATCCATAAGCCATGCAACCTGTCACTAAGCCATCCCAGTCCATTCCAAGCCAGTGAATCCTCTACCACTTAAAAGAGAAGTAGTAAAACTTGCAACAGAATAATCTGCAGTCCTAAGCTTGTGACTTTTTTGAAATGGGGGAGAGCACTATAGGTTGACTCATGCTGTATAAATGTATTTTTCTCAATTTGTTTTATCTCCTTGATTGCAGGGTGATAACTTCTAGAAGATACCATGGAAGTAATGCTGGTTCATCTGTGTTGATGACAGAGATGAATGGTCACTGCACCAGGACATAAGGTAAATACTATACAAGCGTAATAGCTGGAAGGAAGATTTCTGGTGGGTCTGTGTTTATAGATTTGGATTGATATTGGTGGCTAAATAATATTTCAACTTCTGTTTTAGTTTTGGAGGAGGAAGTTTAGACTTTTTAAAAGCCTACCAAGTTAGGAATGACAGTGAGAGACTTCTTTCTTACCTGCAGAAATTGGCCCAGTTTGGCTATAGCCGAACATAAAATATGATTACAAATGCACTTTAACTCATGCTGCAGAGAGTACTTAGTCTAGGAATCTTCATAAGACCAAACCATAAAAATCTGAATTGGAACAATAAATGTCAGTACAGATGTATAATCTGTCTTGTTAAATGTGTGGAATGTGCAATTTAATAATTATGCTGATTATAATCTTTGATTAGGAATTAATCTCTGCAGAGGTCCTTGGATTAAATTGGCAAACTTCCAGGCATCTCCAGAACGGTTTAAGACTTTGTAGGTTAACTGTGTGTTTCATGACTCTGAAGCCTACTCTATTAAAATTATTTTTCGAGTAGATTTAGGAGCAACTGTCTTCAGAGTTTATGTGGAAGAGTAGCTATCTCTTCTGTTTCCCTGATAACTGACCAGGAAAAAAAAAGTGGTAGTGACTGTCATGCCAATACAGCTTTTCAGAAAACTTTTCTACTAAATAATTATTAAAAAAAGGGAAATCACTTTTAATGATTGCAAAATCTGTTAAAATTTAGTATAGAGTGAAGGATAAGGACATCCCTTTTTCAAGGGAAGTATTTATATAGGAAGTGTATGCACTTTTTATGAGATTTTTTTAATTAGTTTTCAAAGTACTCTGTAAATATAAGAACGTATTCTGCTGTTAGTTTCAAATACTGCTTTTGAGAACCAACTTTAAAATGATGACAAGAAAAAGCTGTAGTTGGTATAGTGTTAATCTGACATATGGTCACTGATTTCAGGGAAGTTCATTTTGTGTGAAGGTTCTGTTGCATACTGTGGGATGTTCGTAATCTCAGTTTATTCTTGTGAGTCTCAGCAACAGCAGGTAAATATCTGTGCAATGCTTTTACCAGAATATGCCAGCAATATTTTGGTAAATACTGATAAATAGCTACTGTTACCTTGATAAAGAAGGAAAAATACGCTTCCATTTCAGGGTACTGGATTGTACTTCAGATTAAATACAGAAGTACCATGGGTATTTTCTGTTCTGAGTCAAAGGAAGCATATAGTTAAAAGCTGCTACCTGACCAACCTTATTTTTCTGTCACTCGATAACATTTCAACCAACAAAAAAGCATTACTTTCCTTATCTTCACATTTCTCTTAAGCTTGAAATACTTAAATAACAAACCTACTGGAAAGGACGCTGTTTCAACTGTAGGTGTTTTAAAGATTAAAAACCCTAACCTTTTTTCATTTAAAAATCATTGATGTCAGTAGTATGGCACCAAAGTGGATTAGGGAAATGGGTCTAAAAGAAAGCTCCCCCACCAACCTGCAAAAAATTGGCAAGAGTCAATTTTTAAATATACAGTTTGAGGCTGATAGAGATGATGAATCCTTTAATAAAGAAATGGAGTACTGACTTTAATATGCAGCATCCTAGGCAACTTAAAAAGGTTTTGCCAAATCATCATACAGCTTGCATCAGAATGTTTTAAACTTTTTTATATGTATGTGCCATGTTAACTTCAATTGTCTGTATTAGCTGGGAAGCTGAAGGTTAATTACTCTTGGCAAGTTAAAAAGCTTCTCTCTTTTGGAAAAATTGCTTTTTTTCTCAATTTACTAGATGTGTTTTGTCACTTACTGGTGGTAGTGGGCCATGTTGTAATTAATAAAGATACTAAAACTAAAAGCACACTTTCTCAGCCTACTCTGCAGCTTATAAACCTTTCCAAATTCAACAGGCATGGTGACCACGTTAGTTTAGGGAGCGGTAAATGGAACTTAACTGACTACGTGGCAGGAAAGGTAATACTAACCTTGTAAAAAAATAAGGATGTAATTGTACTAATTCAGTAAGCTGTTCACCTTTTCTTGACCACAAGTTTTACTTATTTTATAGCACATCATTACATACAGATTAGTACCAGTTTATTGCAGGACTCCTGAGTATCATGCAGAGATGGTCAAGAGCTGGTTGGATTTTGTGGTAGGCAAGAGTTTGCAGGGGGACATGCACAGGAATTACAGAGGCTTTCCTTAGTACTTGCTCTGGACACAGTGTTGTACAAGAAGTGTGCATTACTACAAGTAGTCTTCGTATTGTTTTGGTGATTGTAGTTAGCTATTGATGTATTTTCATACTGTTGAGACAAATGGAATGTAATCCAAATACATTCATTGTGTATATAAAAACAAATCAACTCAAAGATGATTTATCTTTTCTGTCTGTCTCTTGGTTTCTCAGAGTGTACTAACTTGCATTTTCTCTTTTCAGTTATGGTGACTAGAAGGCAGCAGTGCAGCAGTGGATATGCATTGGAAAATCGAAGGATAACAAAACGCAACCGATGAAGCTTGGCTTTTGAGTGTCGAGTTACCCAGTATTTCTTCTAGGTGGTTGTGTTAGCATTCAGGAATTGCCTTTGAAAGTAGCACTACTAATCTATTGGGTATAAAAAAATTCTCAGGTAGAAGTCAGTTGCTGTCTGCTGTAGCTAACATCTTCCAAGAGTCAAGAGTGAGCCTTTTTTTCAGTCAGTATACATGCATCATTTATCAGTAGATTCTGCAGCAGAAAAACATTCCAGGGTTGCCCTGTATGTAGGGTGCTTTCCCTTTATGTTGGGGAAAAAAAAAAAGAACAAGTTCTATAAAAGTGAGCTTTAATACTCTAAAGTACAGAGGACTAGATTGTTACAAATTCTTCTTCACCAAGTAACTTACTATATTCTTGACATGAACAGTTCTATAATTGTCCAGGTCTTCTGGATGAGGAAGGAAGTGTTGATGTACTGAGACGATACTAACGATAAATCCCCAGAATAATTACGTGTTCTTGTATGTATTAGCTTCTCACAAAACTCCAGTCAGCACTGCATCTCTTGCAGCAAGATGCTTTCTTCAAAACTTTGCCTTGGTTTTGATGCATTTTATCTTATGTATATGTTGCGCCAATGTGTGAGAGGAGTCCTCAGGCACCAGTATTTCATGTAGAAAACTAACTTCAGATTGACTGAAGTACTTAAACAGTTGTGACTAATAAAATTTATATTGACCATTGACTATGGTAGACAGAAACTGATCTCATTTAAACAACTAACACTCAGTTTGTAATGAGTAGCTAAACAAAAAAGCATTCATACCTTCTCTAAGGATTTAAAACTACCTTTGGGTTTTGGGCTAAGAATATCACTTTAAACTTCAG